AAAATTGCAAGGGTCACTAGAATCAGTAGGGTGAGATATATTATTAATTTCAAATTTTACGCTCTATGGAGAGAATAGAAAAGGTAATAGATTTGATTTTGGTGATAGCGCATGATTTACCGATGCGCGCATAGCCTATGATCATATGGTGCTTGCGTTACAAGATGCATGAATGAATGTGAAAACAGGTATTTTTGGGGCACATATGGAAGTTGAAAGCAATAATAATGGGCCTATAAATCTTATTTTAGAGGTATAATGATTAGATTTATGATAGATGCTGAATTGTGTACATCATATGGTTTTTTATAATCCTCTTGCATCTGACACTAGAGATCAATAATATTCTCTTACAAAAAAACTTATTATTATGGCATATGTATTAAGAAAATCAAAAGATGGAAAAATGTGTGTCATAGATCAAAAAGAATATGATGCATTGATGAATCCAACAAAAAAAACTAAAAAAAATTCACGAACCAAAAAACCAACTAAAAAAACGTATGGGAAAACAAACAAAACAGGGAGAAGTCCAACAAAGAAAAACAATTAAACAACGTGTGATTGATCGAGTAGATCAATATAAAGATAAAAAAAGTGTCAAAAAAGCATTGGAATATGCAAATGGAAAAAGGTCCAGCATATCCGTAATTCAAAAAACTAAAAAAACCAAAAAATAATATGGGACCTAGAGAACAAGAAATTCGAAAAAAACATGGTTTATCTATGAATAGCGATTTGGATTTGCAACAATTGTCTCTTCTAGAAAGAGAAGATCTGCTTTGTGAAAGATCACAACAAGCTATTAAACATATCCATGCAACAGATCCCACATGGGCTGTTGAAAATCAGAAGCAAATGCAAATGAATGCTCGTTTGTAAAATATTACTTTGTAAACGCTCCAGAATTTTTGGAGCGTTTTTGTTTTGTATGTATATCTTATCCAAACAACCCCATTTGTTGTGGCTTTTCATACATATCTTGGAGTTCTCTAATGTTTTTTTCCATAGAGTTGAATTGATATTGTTTGATAAGAATATCTCTGAAATGGGTGAAATTGAGCTTGGTTGCAAATTCTTCTCGTGGACTATCTAGCAATGATGGTACATCCATAAGTTGTACAAGAGATTTACTTTGGATAGCAATATCTTTACTTGTAATCAGCTTTTCTTTGAGAGATGTAGAGATTTCATGTATATGTTCGTAGACGTTTTCTAGTGTATGATATTTTTGAATCAAACCAATTGCTCATTTTGGACCGATACCTTTGACTCCAGGAATATTGTCGCTGGCATCACCAATAATTGATAAATAATCAATCATAAACTCAGGTTCAAATCATCGTTCTTGTAAGAAAGATGCTCTTGTATGTTTGAGTCATTTCATTGGATCAATACAAACAATGCTATCGCAGATAAGCGCTTTCATGTCCTTATCACTTGTCATAATTTCAACATGATGTCCTTCTTGAGCACCACGTTTTGCTACTGTCGCAATAATATCATCCGCTTCATATCCAGGAATTTCTTGGTAGTTAATGCCGAGTTCATCAATGATATGTTTTGTCATGCGAATTTGATGCTTGAAATCATCAGGCAGTTCGGGTCTTTGCCCTTTGTATTCAGCAAATTGCTCATGTCTAATCGTCTTGTGTGGTGCATCCCATGCAAGCACAAAATAGTCAGGCTTTTCATGAAACACCTTAAACAACATTCTTAAGAAACCATATATTGCATGTACACCTTGCCCTTGTGCATTTGTAAGCTCTGGTAGTCAATAATACGCTCTGAACAAATATCATGAGCCATCTACGAGGATAAGTTTTTTCATAGTTTCTTATAATAATTTTTATAGATAATGCCACTAGTAGCAGAGTGGAACTATCTATTTATATTTGACAAACAATATAATATATATATAATTAAAATATTGGAATACTGAAAATACGTACTTTACTCTCTATTCATAGTCAAAATGGCACCAAATGATTTCAATATGTGAGATGTTCATATCAGTGTACCAGTTACACCAGAAAGCGTAAAAGGTTTTACTGATGCAGATTAGCTATAGCAACACAAGAACTGCAAAGACGCATTAGAGAAGCATCTGCTACAACTGCAACTCTTTCTGCAAAAGAAAAACAAGCAACTATACCTCCACAATTCACGCAACTGTGTAAAAAATCGGTTGAGTATTCTGCATCTAACGAATCGGCAGCTGAGCAAGCTAGGGGATTGGTTGAAAGTGGAGCAGTGACTATTTCATGAGATAAAACTAATTTTCATACTATCAACTGAAAATCTATATGAAAATCAATTCTCAAAAATACATATAAACTACCTATCGATAAGAATGCATTAATCAAAAAGAGATCAATGTCGACAGATGTAGTAGGAAAAGAGCATGGAAAAGATAATGTATGGTTTGAACAAAGATATTTGGACGATCCGAAGAATGTAACAGCTATAAAGAAGAATCTAAAAAGCAATAATCAAGAACTCGCATTGTATGATAATGTACGATGACCTATATATAATGCATTGGAGTGAGATCCATATACAAGATGGAGGACAATACAGTTGTTAACTAATATCAATGATTGGATGATAGTAGATACAAAGAGCGGTGAAGATCCTGATTATCCAAATTCTCGTCGTTTCCTCCTATTCGATGAGGGCAAGGCGGGTATGAATACATTCGATAACGTCTTCAATGTTGGGTCGTTGTGTGTGGCCGAGAACTGCGCTCCCTGAGCGTAGCGAAGGATTCGACACCATCGTGAAACGATGGCTCGCGAAGCGAGATTTGGCTATTTGACTCTTCTTCTTGATCGAAGGAGAGTTTTTTTGATTGCATTGATGATGGTGCAAAATATACTTGGAAACTCCTTAAGAAACCATATAAAGATCTTATGCTCATTCCATCACCAGAAGCTATGATACAACTTGGTCGTGATATGTCTCAAAAGGCGTCACATATTTTGTTGTATTGAGAACTTGGGGCTGGTAAGACACATTTTGTGAAGGGATTTGTTGAGTGACTTGGTATTGACCCATATAAAGTCCAAAGTCCTACCTATACTTATTTTCATGACTACGACAACAGGGTTTTACATATGGATATGTATAGATTAGAAGATCAAAATTATTTCATCCAAAAATGAATGCTCCAGCATATTAATGATTTTGATTATGTCATCATAGAACGACCGAAATTCACCGATATGTATGCCACAGGATATACAACTATTACGATTGATAAAATTAGTCCTAATGAGAGGGAGGTGAGTATAAAGTAACCCAAAAGAAAATACTAGTTTATTTTATATATGACTATGACCAAATCCCAAAAAATAGACTTTGTCTTTGCAGAGTTGGAGAAAAGATATGCAGGTGCTACGACGGAGCTTGTTTATAATACGCCGTTTCAGCTTATTGTAGCGGTTGTGATGAGTGCGCAAACCACTGATAAACAAGTTAATAAAGTGACTGCAAAGTTTTTTGATACAATACAATCGCCGGTGGACTTATTAAAAATTTCTTGAGAAACTTGGGAAAAAATGATATCGTGAGTAAATTATTATAAAAATAAAGCAAAAAATATTTATAGAATGGCACAAATACTGACTGCAGAATCAGAAAGACCACCAAATAAAGCTTGAAAAGAATTTTATAAAAAACGATGATATTGGATACCAGATACACAAGAACAGCTTATGATGTTGCCATGAGTTGGTGAAAAAACTGCTAAAGTTATGTTGCAAGTGCTCTATAAACAACCAGTGATAGCAGTAGACACACATGTACATAGAGTTATGAATAGACTCTGAATTGTAAAAACTAACGAACCATTGCAAACATCAAAACTCCTTGAGAAAATAGTGCCAGATACATATAAGCTTAATGCTCATCACTGATTAATTATGTTTGGAAGATATCATTGTACTGCAAGAAACCCTCAGTGTGATAGTTGTCCGTTTGTAATAATATGTGATTGGTATAAGAAGAATAAGACACAAAAAAAGCGTGTATAAAAATATATATTTATATGTACTTATGATAACTATTATGACAATATTTGAACCACAACGAGGAGTGCAAGTACTACAAGCATTAAATGCATGGGTGAGTAGCTCAACTACATTATTTCATCTTGTAAGTTTCTTGGCTGACGCAACAGTGCTTTTATTCCCTCTATTCTTGCTTGTCCTTTATATTGCTGGTATAAGAAAAAAAGAACAAAAATATAAACAGTATGCATTGTGTGTGTTTGTATCTTCGCTAATCGCAGGCATAATGAATATCATTATTCAGCTTTTTGTGATAAAAGTAAGACCTGAAACTGCATTGGCGTGAGCTCATAGACTCATTTTGAATCATCTGCCCACAATGTCTTTTCCATCAGATCATGCTGCTGTAAGTATGGCATTTGCTATAGCAATACTATGTGGAATTGCATTATTTCACAAGCATAAAAAAAGAACATTATTTACAATGTGGTGAGTGTTCTTTCTCATTGCATCAATAATAATGTCTATAGCTAGAGTTGCTGTATGAGTACATCGACCTACAGATATTCTTGCTGGTTGGGTAGTATGAATTATTGCAGCGTTAATAGCTACACATTTACCAACATCATTCTATAATTTCTTCATTACTATTGAGGAGTATATCATGCAGAAGGTGTTTGGTGTGAAAAAATAGATAATGGTCATTACATAGTTTCATGTTTCGTATAATAAAAAAAGACCTCAGTATGAGAGTCTTTTTTTGTATAAAAACTATTGAACTATAGCTACATCTTGGAAGAATATCTTGCAACCTATAGAATATAACTATCCAATCTCTACCTGCACAGCAACATCTTGTTCTATACCTGTAGCGGTATTTTTGACTGTAATAGTAGGATTTACTGGTCCGTTTTTACTAAAGTCATATGTTCATTTAAGTGAGTATGTATATTGAGTTGCATCTACGCCAGTTGGTAGGGTAATCCAAGTTTTCATTTGTTCTTGTGTGGGTGGAGTAGTCATTGCTTTTTCTTTGATGGCTGTTTTTGCTATAGGTAATTCAGCTCACATTTGTTCTGCTTTACCAGTTTGCACATAGAAGAGAATATCCTTTGCCATATCATTGGGAGAGTTGTATGTTTTGTTTTTTCTGTTATTATCTGTACTAACCTCTGTAATAAAGCTTTGTAACAAGAATATTTTATATGCTTGTTTACCGGCTGGATCAGTCAATCATATCACTTTACCAGTACTATCTTTTTGGAGATAATTTGTCTTACTATCATCAGTAATTGTCTTTGCAAAGTCATCTTTCTTACTTTCATATGCAATACCTTTCTTGTCCATCAAACCAAATAATTTATCTATATTTGTTTTTTCTAGAGTAGGCAAGAGATCTTTTGCTGTGCTATTAGTCGTAAATTTTCATGTGAAGTTTTTGGTGAAATCATATGTCGTGAGCCATGTATCTGCTTTGTCATTAGGGTCATTTTGTTTGTAATCATCTATAATATCATTGGTGTTTTTTTCAGCAGTTGCTTTAGTAGTCGTGGTGTTACCAAGCACATTAATTCATAATATATTTCATAGTATAGTAGCTATCAACGTCATAATATCTATTTTTTTTGGTTCTCATGTTTCTTTATCTTTTATATATATGCCTCATTCTTTCATAATTATTTCACCTCATACTAGTTTTTGCATTTTCTCACTTACTATTTGTTTTCTGAATTCTTTTTGTTGTTCAGCTGTAAGAGGAGTGCTTGCCAAAATAGCATCTTTCTTTGTTTTAATATCTTGTTGCCATTCTGTCATATTTGTTGTAATAGACTCTCATCAAGCATTTGCGATGATTTTGATGGTGTCAAATGTATTTACGCCAAGAGTGTTGTTGAAATTCTGTTTACATATACCATCTAGTTTTTTTTGTAACTCTTTGTCTTTGTTGTTGATTTTTCATTTTAATCACTCTTGAGGTGTATTAAGATATGCTTTGATATCATGTGTAATTGAACTTCTTGTGTTTTCTATTAGGTTTTTCATGTTGTTTTTTGTCTCTCAAAGCATCGCTTGCATCTGAGTAGGGTTGCTGAGTATATTTTTTATATAGAGAATTTTCTCTGTGTTGTAGTTGCTTCATTTGTTTACTAAAAGTCCTTTTGTAGTCATATCACTATAAAGTTTTTTTAAGACAATTCACATGAGTCATATTGTAATTGCATCTTGTTTTCTCTCTGTTACAAGTATTTTTTCTACTGAACTACTAATCATATCAGTCAGATTAGATGCGATTTTTTCTTCATTTACCAATAATCTTTCTGCAGCTGAGAGATTACTTTTTATCTCTTTTGTAATAGTGCTTGTCATAGCACTCTTATCAATATTGAACGTAGCTCATAGTGTATTTTTGGCATTATCCATTAGATTTGTTACTTCTTTTTTTTCTTCAGGTGTAGTGAAAATCGTGTTTATAAATGCGTCTAGTGTGATGTTTTCAGGGTTCTTATTTTCGATGGATTCATCAGTAGTATTGTTGTTGGTATTTGAAGAATTTATTGTACTGCTTGGCTTATTTATTTGATCTTTTTCTGCTTTTACTGCTTGGAGAAAAGTAGTTGCATTTTGAACTATATCTTGTTTTTGTACAGGAGTTAACATCGCTTCTGGAATGTGTGTTGTATCTACAACGGAT